GGTTCCTTATAGCTGTTGGAATAAGACACATTGATTTCATGGTTTCGGAGGGAGAGAAACAACTTCAGCTCTTGGGGAGGGAACATCTTAGACATGGGATGTTTTTCTTCCTCATTAGAGATAATGCCCTGGTGCTGCTCTCCAAAACTGTTACCAGCACATTAGATTTAACTGATTGCCAGACAGTTCTGACCATGATGTGACCACCATTCCCCTAATCTTACCAAGAAGTCTATTGGAAACAGCACAATGACCCCAGTTCCTGCACCTACCACCCAAAATACCTCTGGATGTCTTCTCTACTCCCATCTTCAGTCATTTGATGGGGAGAGTGAATGCCATCCAGCTAGTGGCATGGGCAAACAGGATAGATTATACTGATTGCCTTCAGGCAGTCCCTCCAAAAACAAGCACTAGACAGACTTATTGAACTTAACTGGAAACCCTTGAGCCTGCCAGCTGTCTAGGGGGCTATGCTGCAATTACTGTAAGCCTGTGCTCCTTGACTTATATTAGTTCCATCCGGGGCCCTAACAATTATAAACAACACTTTCTTTCCAAGCGCACCATACGTGGCCCTGGGACTGTACTTCTTATGGGGAAACCCAGCATAAACTTGCCTCGTTTCTGAAAACACAGTGACTTGTACCTTAGTCGTGGTCATAAAAGACCTTCACGAATTTAAGAAAACACCACCAATAGATCATATACTCCTCAGACAACTGTGGAGATTTCTCCTGTATGAGGCTATCATTAGCTAATAGGGGAGCTTTCTGGAGGGATACTGACTTATTTATGTGCATCCTGTATGCATTTATCCCTACGATGCAATTCAACTAGAAAAAGTGGTACAAAGTTTGTCCAGAACACCACCTCAACCTAGAAAACATTCAGGTCAGCCTCACCTCACAGTCTAGGGTTGTTATAGATGATAGAATTGCCCTAGACTTCCTCCTTGCAGGGCAATTTGGAGTCTGTGCAATCACTAATACATCCTGCTATGCCTGGATTAATGCGTTAGACCAAGCAGAAAGTTAAATACAGAAACCTGATGATATACGGGACTTGTTCAGCTGGTTGGGTCCAGGATCCTGGAAGTCATGGTTAAGACTGGTTCTGCAGATTTGACTCACACTGCTACTTGAAACCCTACTGATAGTAGCATTAATTAAATGAGACAAACTGGATAGACTTATCTGTCTGATTAATCAGAGTGACCAACAAAGTGGTATACTTATGGGAAAATGTGCCAAATGCCAAAATGGTATAGAAACAAGAAGCAGGTATTTTAGGGAGACAATTCTCCATGGGTCTCTCACATTTCTGCATGTCTAGAAAGAAAAGACACTAGCTGCCTTCATTCTGGACCATCTTTTCAAGGATGTTTGTACAGTGAAAAGTTTTGAGAGATATAGTGTCTACCTGTGAGCAAAGGACAGGTTTGTTTACTATCCAGTATAATAAAGATAACGTCTCTCTCCAGGACAAAGGTCAGGCAGTTTACTGTCTACTATAAAAGATTCAGGTTCCCTAAACTCAAGGTTCCATTCCCATGACAGAAGTCACTGTGTGTACATTTGTCAACTAGTTCACATCATGTCACCAATGGTAATTGGAACTTGGGGAACTGGAGCAAATGCTGATATGGTGGGTACTGCTACTGCCATGAGTCCTTTGTCTCTGGCCCGGGTGTCTTGTGCCTGCTGCCGGTATTCATAAAACCATGGCTAACTAACCTGCTAGTTTGCGTTCAGGGTAAAATCTCAGACCCTTCACAGTTCTTGGCAATGCTTTGCCTCACAGCCTCAAACGATGCAAAATGTATTTTAGGAGATGATTCTATTTTTAAGTTAGCAATGTTTACATACTGATAACAAATGTACTCCTTTAGCAAGTAGGAATTACTGAATTTTACACATGCTTAATTAGAAAATTAATTAAAAGAGAAAATCATCAGCTATGTGCATTTCTAAGAACATCCATCATGAATTACATAGTCTATGATAGATACGAGCCAAAATCAGTGGATATGACTCTGAGCTTGTCATACCACTTGACTCTTTATTCCAGTAGTGTGCTGTAAATGTTTAACTGGCTTTCTCCAGGGTAGGGGGAGGAAACCTGCTTTCCATGGTGTAAATACTCCCATCATGGCCAATTTCCAGCTACCATTGTGATGTCAAAAGGCTTGTAAGCTTCCTGAAAATTGAACAATAGGCTCTCTCAAGCCAGCTCCTGCATACTGCTGCTACTCTAATTTATAGTCTATTCTTCCTCTAGACTGTAAGTTCCCTAAGAGGAAAGTCTACGCATTATCTAACATAGGGTTTGATGTATAGTGAGCGCTCAGTAAATACAGAATTAATTTACTTAAAAGCCAAGAGGATTCATTTAGGAAATCAATCGTTTGGTTGGTTGTTTGGTTTTGTTTGTCCATTTAATCTGGGCATCCAACAATATAAGATTCAAATAACTAAAAATTATCCTACAGCTGTACTAGGAAGACCCACATCATATTATCCTCAGAAAAAAGCTCCTTAAGGACACTGAGCACTACACTGTGCATATTAAAAGTTAACTATTGAAAAGGTACATCAGCATTAAGTAATTCTCAGTAATTTCCTCCCTGCTTAATTTAATTTTATCGTAAGGAATTTGCCTGGTGGTTTACTAAGATAATCAACAGCTGTTAAGATGATCATCTTGCCTATAATTACATTTAAAATGAAAAGATTTTAAAAAGCAGAGCAATACTCATTGTGGTAGGTTCCCTTACTCACATCACTACTATGTAAATTTCCCTAAATATCATCTTTGTAAAATACCTGGATTTGAGTAAAATTTAAAATGTGCTCATTTTAGCTTACATATTTTCATTCCACGAATCATTTAGAAATTATCTGTATCTAAATAGCATCCACCAGCTGCTCCTTAGAAACCCTATGGGGCAGTTCAACTCTGTCCTATAGGGTCACTATGGGTCAGAATTGACTCGAAGGCAATGGGTTTGGTTTTTTGGTTAAATAGCAATTGGTCTCTATTAAAAACCAGACATACACAGTTTTTGTATAAAATCCTACAGCTGCAGATTAAATCGTTAAACACTTTCTTCAAACACAACTTTGTAAGAAATGTAGTTGAGTACTGGTTTGTGTGTGTTTCTCCCTACATAATTAGCACAAATTTAAATGAGATATTTAAACTGCTTTTTATTCATTAGCTAACAGGCCTCTAACCAAAGAATGAATAAAATAACGGGGCTTAAAATGAATTAGCCAATGAGTGATGAAGTTGTTTTTTTTTTTTTTTTTAATAAAAAACATAATGTATACTTTTTCCAAAACTGCAGTCAACATTGGAAGGCAGAAAGGAATATTCTCTCTTTTCTCTCTGAGGTATACTGAAATCATTCTCCCTTTTTCCCTCTCATATCAAGATTGTGAGGTACTGCATCATCACATGTTTATTTATGAGCTTGTATTTGTTTATACGAGACTGATTCTAAAATGGTTCTGCTGCCTAGAAAAATAGGTACAGTTAAACAAGGCAAAAAAGTGAGGAGATCAGATGTGCTTTGTAGAACTGACTCTGAGCTTCCTGACAGACAAGGAAAAATGTACGCACAATAGGTACAAAATTTATGCTGTCCATGAGTTAAAAACAAACCAGATACTTGAGTGGTGCACAGTTACTCCCTTCAGTAAGACTAGGTTTCTGAGTAGAAGGATGCATTTGACAAAAAAAAACAAAAAACAGCACTCTGACAAAAAATATACCACATTTCCCGGGGCAGCTGCCTACAGTATTCCTTAGCGTAAGCTAAAGGCAATGCAGCTTTGTAAAAGGCAAACCTGTGATGGCCTAAAATAGTGTGAGGTAATTATACAGACATAGAACAATCTGACTTTATCAAAAGATAACATTTAGAGTAGCTTGAAAATTGAGTGATCTTGCTCTCTCGAAGCTGAAACCACATTCTGCTCCCCAGAGGAGATACATTCTAAATTTGGCTTAGACTTGTACCGAAGGTACTGCGTGTGCAAGTTTGGATTTAGGTACAGACTCTTGGGCCTTTCCCAGGGATCCATAGTGCTTTCCCTTTCCCCTTGTCCCCAGCACACTGCAGCTTAATGTCTACAACCGACAAAAAAATCTACCACCATCAAGTCGATTCCAACTCATAGTGACCCTATAGGGTTTCTAAGGCTGTAAATCTTTACAGAAGCAAACTGCCACATCTTTCTCCCGCAGAGTGGCTGGTGGGTTTGAACCGCTGACCTTTGGTTAGCAGCTGATGGCTTTAACCACTGTGTCACCAGGGCTCCTTCATAGTCTACAACAGTGGTTCTCAAACTTGAAAGTGCATCAGAGTGCTTGTTAAAACACAGTTGCTGGGCCTCACCCCAGAGTTCCTAATTCAGTAGGTCACAGTGGACCTCAAGAAGCTTGGGTGGCGCAAGCAGTTTGCCACCAGCTGCTATCCTAAAGGTTAGGGGTTTGAACCCACCCAGCTCTTCCCCGGAAGAAAGGCCTGGAGAACTGCTTCTGTGAAGATTACAGCCAAGAAAACCCTAGGAACAGTTCTACACTCTGTAACACATGGGTCACCATGAGTCAGAAGTGACTGAATGGAAATGAGTTTGGTTTGGGTGAACCTTAGAATTTGCATTTCTAACAAGTTTCCAGATGACGCTGATGATGGCACAGGAAGCACATTTTGAGAACTGATCTACACCAGAGGTTGGCAAACTTTTTCTGTACAGGGCCAAGCAGTAAATATTTTAGCCTTGCAGGCCACACAGTGTCTTTCGCAACTACTCAACTTTGCCTTGTAGCACAACAGCCTTAGATGGTAAGTAAAATGAACGGGTGTGGCCTTGTTCCAGTAAAGCTTTCTTTATACCAGGCAGTAGGCTGGATTTGCTGACCCCTCATCTTCACCAACCTGCCCGGATCCATAATCCCACACACACACCAAAAAGCTCTGCTCTGCTACTGGCCTTGTCATAGTGCTTGAAGGCTGCCAGCAAGGTGTCGAAGTTTTGGCAGTTGACTTTCTTCAAGTGATGTCGAACTGCGGCAAGCATGGCTCGCTGTCTATCCTTGCCTCGAAGATATTCACCCGGAAGTCTATTGTGGATGAGATCACCAGCTCCTATCAAAAAAGGAAAAAAGAAAAAAAAAGTCTTTTATCTGGATTTAAAGTCTGTCAATATTATTTCCATCCTAAAAAAAGAGAGAGACCTGTTAACGTCTGCAAATAAAAAAGAACTCACATCTATAACACTATCCTGCAGCATGACAGAAATCCTTGTGTATAAAAAAGCACATAAAGTTAATTGACTGAAATTAATATCAGTTTTATGTTACTTCCCTGCTCAAGAAACAAAAATCTGAAAATATGAGTTTTGTGGGGACATCGTCAGCCCTACCCACTTGTCCAGATATTTCCTAAGCTTGTGAAGCCTTCACCTGACTGCCTCTTAAGAGACATTTGTCTACAATGTGGAGGATCTGAAAGATGGGGCTGATTCCATGTTCGGATCACTCTGTGTACCTCACAGTTGACTGACCCTCTGGGAGTCCTTATGAAAATTAAGACTCAAATTCTTGACTCTCTCCTAACATGAGTTTCCAGTCAGCCTTCAGTCTGTATACCAAGTTCCCATTTTTCAGGCCTACTTCCCTCTGTATCACCACCAGCACTGAAGGACTGCCCCATCCACAGTTCCCTTAAGTAAGAGTCCTGACCCAAACTCCCGCAGGTATCTAGAAGTAATGCCCTCTCCAGTCCATTGCTCCATCCCCCAGACTTGGCCCTTGCTTCCACCTCCCTAATTTACAACACAAAGAAAGTATAAACACCCACGCTGCCTATAAACCCCATTTCTTGTCATTCCCTTTTAGTAAACATGCCTTAGATATTAATGTTGACAGGAATCAGGACTTCAGTTGATCATGCTGCTTCATGCATGGTAGTTTGGTGATATCACCAGAAAAATCCCTCTGCCTTTGTTCATCTTTCCCTGGACTACACCCCTCTCTTTTTCTGCCTGAACCTCTCAACTTTCTTGGGGCAGGGTCATGCTGGCAGTTGGCTGTAACACCCTGAATAGATTAATTTAAATTGCAATGTTAGTTCAAGGCAACTAATACTTACATCTACTCTGTATAAGGCAATATACTTAAGGGTCTTTCAAGTGCCTGTTTTAAGAGGAACTCGTGGCACTTCTAAGTCGTCACTTATTTGTTATAAAATTAGGAGATAAGCATGCACACTCTGAAAAAAAGTCTTGGTTCTAAGGGTAGACAGTAAGAATGGGTGAGAAATCCACAACTGTGATGGTTAATGTTGTGTCAACTTGGCTAGGCCATGATTCTCAGTAGTTTGGCACACGGTATGTAATCACCCTCCATTTTGTGATGTGATGTGAGCAGCCAATCAGTTGAAAGAGGAGTTTCCTTGGGAGTAAGGCCTGCCTCCAGTATATAAAAGGATGTTCTGGCAAAGCTTGCTCATTTGCTCTCTTGACCCTGCACTCTTCTTGTCCCCTGACCTCCAGTCCTTGGGATGTAAGCCTGCAGAAGTCTTCAGCCTTCCACTTGACCTGCAGATTTTGGATTCGCCAGTCCCTGCAACCCCCCATTAGCTAGCAGAGGCCTCTGGCCTCCAGCCTGATCAGCAGATTTTTGGTTCGTCAGCCCCTGCAACCAAACGAGCAAGTAGGGTCTTCAAAATGCTGCCTGACCTACAGATTTGGGGCTTGCCAGCCCCCACGATTGTGTGAGCCATTTCCTCACAATCTGTGAGTCATTTCCTTGAAGTAAATCTCTCTATGTACATTTATATATAGACTTCACTGGTTTTGCTCCTCTAGATAACCCAGACTAAGACAATAACTAAAGCTGATTCCAGGGACAGGGTAACTGCCTCAGAACAAGGATCTGAAACAGGATTAACTACCAAGAGACATTCCTAAAGTGAGCAAAACACAAGGAAGACCATAGGAATGGAAATTAAGACCGTTAGGGATGATTTTTTTAAAATAATATTTTAAACCTATATTTAAATATTTAAACCTATATTTAAATATTTAAACCTAACAGCAAGTTAGGTTCCCATCTTCTCAACTTTGCTTTTGAGAAATTGTTGACCTTTTGGTCTCCTGCTGATGTTTTTTAAGTAGGGACCTGATCTTATGGATAATATCCTTTATTTTATGTGCCACTCTGTAATTTCACTAAAAGATGATCTCAGGGGATAGGCTTGGTTCTAGTTTAAAGAGTGTCTCAGGGTGATAGTCTCAGGGGGTCCTCTGTTCTCTACTGTTCCAGTTCATCTGGATTTTTTTTTTTTAAATAAGAATTTGAGTTCTGCTCCATATTTTTCTCCCACTCTATCCAGGACCAACTATTTTGGCCCCAGTTAGAACGGTAGTCAGGCACCATCTAGTTCTTCCGGTCTCAGCATAGATAAGGCTGTGGCTCTTGTACACTTGTTTCTTCTCTGCACTTTCTGTTGCCTTCTTACTATTTTGCTCCTGGAAAATTGAAACCTATAGTTGTGTCTTAGATAGCCACTCACAAGCTTTTAAGGCCCCAGACGCTACCCACTTCGCTAGGATACAGATCATGATTTTTGTGAACTATGTTATGCCAATTGACTGAGCTGTCCCATGAGACTATGGTCCTAAGCCCTCAAACCCAGAAAACCAATGTTGGAAGGTGTATGGTTATGTCTGAGGGGTAACCGTATTTGTGTCTTCAATGAATATATGTGCCTGCACCCACATATTTTCACTAGGCATATGTCAGTTTGTCATACTGTGGTGAGTTGCGTGTTGCTGTGATACTGGAAGCACTGCCATGGGTATTTCAAATACCAGCAGGGTCAACAATAGTGGACAGGTTTCAGCAGAACTTCTAGACTAAGACAGACTAGGAAGAAGGACCTGGCAGTCTACTTCTGAAAAAATTGGCCAGAGAAAACCTTATGAATAGCAGCAGAACATTGTCTGACACAGTGCGAGAAGATGAGCCCCTCATATTGGAAGGCACTCAAAATATGACTGGGGAAGATCTGCTTCTTCAAAGTAGAACCAAAAAAAAAAAAAAACCAAACCTGTTGCCATTGAGTCAATTCCAGCTCATAGCGACCTCAAGGTAGAGTCGACCTTAATGACATGGATGGAGTCAAGTTTTCAGGACCTTCGTTTGCTGATGTGGATGATTCAAAATGAGAAGACACAACTTCAAACATCCATTAATAATCAGAACACAGAATGTACAATGTATGAATCTAGGAAAATTGGAAGTCATTAAAAATGAAATGAAACTCATAAAGATTGATACCCTAGGCATTAGTGAGCTAAAATGGACTAGTATTGTCCATTTTGAATCAGACAATCATATGGTCTACTATGTCAGGAATGACAAATTGGAGAGAAATGGCATCACATTCATCATCAAAAAGAACATTTCAAGATCCATCCTGAAGTACAACACTGTCAGTGATAGGATAATAGCTATACACCTACAAGGAAGATCAGTGAATATGACTATTATTCAAATTTATGCACCAACCACTAATGCCAAAGGTGAAGAAACTGAATATTTTTACCAACTTTTACAGTCTGAAATTGATCAAACATGCAATCAAGATGCACTGATAATTACTGGTGATTGGAAAGTGAAAGGTAGAAATGAAGAAGGATAGTTGGAAAATATGGCCTTTGTGATAGAAACAATGTCGGAGATTGCATGATACAATTTTGTGAAACCAATGACTTCTTCACCACAAATACCTTTTTTCAAAAACATAAACAGTGATCATACACGTGGACTTCATCAGATGGAAAACATAGGAATCAAATCGACTCCCTCTGTAGAAAGAGACAATGGAAAAGCTCAATATCATCAGTCAGAACAAGGTCGAGGGATGACTGCGGAACAGAACATCAATTGCTCATATGCAAGTTCAAGTTGAAGATGAAGAAAGTTAAAACAAGTCCACAAGAGCCAAACTCCTTGAGTATATCCCACCTGAATTTGGAGACATCTCAAGAATAGATTTGATGCGTTGAACACTAATGACCAGATGCGTTGTGGAATGACATCAAGGACATTGTCATGAAGAAAGCAAGAGGTCATTAAAAAGACAGGAAAGAAAGAACAGACTAAAATGGATGTCAGAAGAGACTCTGAAACTTGCTCTTGAATGTAGAGGAGGTAAAGCAAATGAAAGAAATGATGAAGTAAAACAGCTGAACAGAACATTTAAAAGGGTGGCTTGAGAAGACAAAGTAAAGTATTATAATGACATGTGCAAAGAGCTGGAGATAGAAAACCAAAAGAGAAGAACACACTCGGCATTCCTCAAGCTGAAAGAACTGAAGAAAAAATTCAAGCCTCGAGTTGCAATAGTGAAGGAGTCTATGGCGAAAATATTAAACAACACAGGAAACATCAATAGAAGATGGAAGGTATACACAGCGTCATTATACCAAAAAGAACTGATCGATGTTCAACCATTTCAAGAGGTAGCATATGATCAGGAACCAATGGTACTGAAGGAACAAGTCCAAGCTGCGCTGAAGGCATTGGAGAAAAACAAGACTCCAGGAGTTGACGGGATATCAACTGAGATATTTCAACAAATGGATGTAATTCTGGAAGTGCTTACTTGTCTATGCTAAGAAATCTGGACGACAACTACCTGGCCAACTGACTGGAAGAGATCCATATTTATGCCTATTCAAAAGAAAGGTGATCCAACTGGATGCAGAAATTATCGAACAATATCATTAATACCACAAGAAAGTAAAGTTTTGCTGAAGATCATTCAAAAGCGGCTGCAGCAGTATGTTGACAGGGAACTGCCAGAAATTCAGGCTGGATTCAGAAGAGGACGTGGAACCAGGGATATCATTGCTGATGCCAGAGGGATCCTGGCTAAAAGAAGAAAATACCAGAAAGATGTTTACCTGTGTTTTATTGACTATGCAAAGGCATTTGACTGTGTGCATCATAACAAATTATGGATAACATTGCGAAGAATGGGAATTCCAGAACACTTAAGTGTGCTCATGAGAAACCTATACACAGATCAAGAGGCAGTTGTTTGGACACAACAAGGGGATACTGCGTGGTTTAAAGTCAGGAAAAGTGTGCGTCAGGGTTGCATCCTTTCACCATACCTGTTCAATCTGTATGCTGAGCAAATAATCCAAGAAGCTGGACTGTATGAAGAAAGGGGCATCAGGATTGGAGGAAGACTCATTAACAACCTGAGTTATGCAGATGACACAATCTTGCTTGCTGAAAGTGAAGAGGACTTGAAGCACTTACTGGTGAAGATCAAAGACCACAACCTGCAGTATGGATTACACCTCAACATAAAGAAAACAAAAATCCTCACAGCTGGACCAATAAGCAACATCACAATAAATGCAGAAAAGATTGAAGTTGTCAAGGACTTCACTTTACTTGGATCCACAATCAAAACTCACGGAAGCAGCAGTCAAGAAATCAAAAGACACATTGCATTGGGCAAATCTGCTGCAAAAGACCTCTTTAAAGTGTTGAAAAGCAAAGCTGTCACCTT